TTCAAATTTTTTTTCATCAAGCATGAATTTTCAGTGGGGGGGGGGGTGTTCACTGTTCACCCTCCCGCACGATGGAGATTTTGCAATTATTACACTAAAATGGAGCGACCTGAGGTGAAATTCTTGCAAATTTTCAACAACAAATTTTTTTTGCTTGGGGGTGGAGGGATCGGGGGGTGGGAGGGTTAGTTCGAACCCCCCGAACCCCCCCTGGCTACGGGCCTGTATATATACCGTCGCTGTCTATATATGCTATAGCAGAGGGTTTAGCATGAGTGACAGACGTATGAACACATGCGTATGAATGTATGAATATCATGACAACCACTGGCACGACTGTATACGCTGTACTGTACTTTGTCTAACCAAGGATATATACGAACACATATATGTGTTTGTATGTATCTATGGTCTAGCACATAATGTCATGGACGAAATATTCCTTATAGATGGCGCTGCTAAGGGTTTGTGATCCATTGACCTTCACCCCAAGTTCGTGAAGCATTCAGCACACCTGGCTCAGGGTGAAATTAATAAGATTTTAATCAGCCGATATTTGAATTGTAAACACCGGTGGCACGAAGGTACCTCGTGGAATCAGAGAACGGCGGACGGGCCACGCTTGGCCACGCGTCTGGAATTAAACCGACAAAAACACGGGAAGGAAAGACGTCGAACAGAAGGACGGATTAGAAATGTTTATAATCTACGTGAATGCGCACAATTCAAATTACGTGCAGGTGGATCGAGCATTTCCCTCCGATTTTATCCGTATTCTATCGCGTGCACGCTTCCTTCACCACCCGTATCAACATTATCTTGGTGTTCACCGTGTGTATCGACACTGAGACAAATGAACATTCGTGAATAATCCGTGCTTCCGTCGTAGACGAAAAAAAAACACGAAGTCTGTTGTTTCCGCTGTTGTTGTTTATTGTGGAATATTTTGCTACTCTCGCGTAGATATGCGTTGATATGCGATGCGCGATGTAGAAAATGCGTTCCAAAAGAACCGTTCCTGACATTAATTGCTTGCTTTGGGCTATGTATGAGTCACGAGTGTATGTTCACATCGAACAATATAGTAAAATAAGAAGTATAATGCAGCAATTTAACCATAAAAAGTGAACAGAATTACTTATATTTTGTGAAGAAGTGAAAATATATATATTTTTTTTTTACTATTTACGGTGACGTAATCACTTTAAGTTTAACTCGAATAATTTACAGCAGGGTTTATCAATACGGCTCTTGGTCGAGGTTGCGTCGATGTCAGTGAACGAAGAGCGAAGTGAATGTAATGACTGGATTATGCTGGTGTTACATTATAGCTTCACCTTTAAAGCGATTAGGATTTGCTGGGTAAATTACCTTGGTATATTGTTCTAGGCCAATTTATCTAATTTTTTTTTTAAAGTGGCACATTGTTCTCGGTCAATTTTCTCTTTTTTGTAAAAGAGCGATTTGCTGACGACGAGCGTTTCGTTAGATGGTTTTGTTGTTCGATTTTTTTTTGGGCAAACTGCCAGGTTACGAGCGTAATGGGACGCAGACGAAGATCGAGTTTCCATTAACTTTCACAACCTTCTCAAGTCATCGATCTCGCTTGACGGTTAACTTTACGAAAACATTCGAATTTTGCGGTGCTGCCTTCGACACTCACTTATATAACCTCTAGTCGAACCTCACACTCCGTCTTAGGGCGAGCGTAGCGCCACCTCGCCGCAAGATTTTAAATTTTGAAATTAATTTTGAATTTAAACTTAATTACATCGGTGGGGCCCGTTGCACGAACAATTTCACCCTAACCGAACCACAGATCTATAAAAACACGTCTCTCTCTCCCTCTCTCTCTCTCTCTCTCNTACTAACTAAACTAACGTACTCTCTCTCTCTCTCTCTCTCTCTCTCTCTCTCTCTCTCTCTCTCTCTCTCTCTCTCTCTCTCTCTATCTATATATATATGGTCGCACATATTTAGTAACATCAGGGGGGGGGGGTGAATAATGACAGATCATTAAAGACAAAATGGTAAAATCCAACTTCTGTGACGTCACCTAATCATGTGTGTACCCAAAACCACTGATTAACTATACTGGATATAGGACGCAATTAATATACGTCGGTAAAAGCTGTTTGTAGAATATCATATATCACCCGTACGACACATATGTGCTAGCTATAGGATGTTTCACCTGCACCATATATCACCTTCCTACTCCATATACCACGTCACTACCAGAAATAGGACAATAGCACTGATACTGTTACGTTGTCGCGCTATTAACACAATAAATTATACCGCCTAGTTAGTGTTGGCAAACAACAATCTAGAGGTGCTATTAGTAGAATCTGCCCACATGGACAGGTATGCACGCATGTACACACACGCACGCACTTACGCATGCACGCACTTACGCATGCACGCACTTACGCATGCACGCACGCACGCACGCATGTACACACACGCACGCACTCACGCATGCACACACGCACGCACGCACGCACACACATACGCACACACACACGCACGCACGTACGCACGCGCGCACCACCACTTACATACACACACGCACAAACACACACACACACCACACACACCTACACCACACACGACACACACATACACACACACACACACCACACACACACACACCACACACACACACACCCACAGCACAACACGCACACAACACGCACGCAACACACAGCATAATTTACCGATTATAACCAGTCGCGTATATATATAATACTATATATATATATATATATATTATATATACTAGTATATATCTTATAATATAATTATATACATATATATATATATATATATA